CACATAGAATCACCGGAAGTGCAGAGCCCCTGTCGCCCCTGTCTGGACAGGGCTGGGCAAGGGCAGGTCAGTGTCGCTGGACCACAGCCCCTTTTACTCCATGTTTGGGGTTTTGTCTCAGTCCATTCCCATAGCAGGACATCTGCCTGTTCCTTACAAAATGGGTCTCCAGGCTCATAAACACCACTGTCTTGCTGCCTTAGATTCCATCTGTCTGTGAATGAGCCCGGAGCTGTCCTTTGACCTAAGCCCTCATCCAGTGATGATTGGACCCATCTCAAGGCCCTATAACCCTTCATCACTGAGACGTAAAGTAAAGCAGACATTTTTCTAACTTTATTTTGTGATTATTTCCCTATTTATTTAGTTCGCTTTTTTGGGAGACAGAATCTCACTATGTAACCCAGTCTGGTCTCAAACTTGTAGAGATCCTCCTGCCTCAGCCTCCGGAGTGCTGGGATTTCAGGAGAGCTCCCCCACACCTGGCTTACTTCAATTAAAATGAATGGTTAAATGGATATTGGTATATCAATAGGAAACTATTTTCTCTTCATAGTTCATATATACTGGAAGATGGCAGAGACTAAATGGAGTCTCTGTTAGGGTAGATAGAAGAATTTGAGGGCAGACAGGAACGAAAATTTCTGACTCCCTTTACCAAATTTATTATCTACCAGACTATGAATTCTAGGCCAGCAGGCATGACACATTATTCATTGTTGTATGTCCAGAGCATGACATTACTCTTGGTATGTAATGTCATTCAGATCATTAAACTGAAAGAATGTGCCTTTATCACATCCTTTCCAAGTGTAGCTTTTCTGAGGTTTTTATTGGGCCTATTCCATTTCTGTTTTCAGTTCTAGGGAGCAATTGGCCACGAGATCCCATGGGCAGCGACTGTGGAGAGCTGGTTCCTGCTGACAGGCTCAGCATGTCCCTGCCTCGCCCATCACTGGGGCAGATGAAGCAGGAGTGTGTTTGTAGCACAACTCCAGCTACCACTGAGGGAAGACCTCGTTTGGCAGGCTTGGGATGCAATGGCTGTTATTAGCCACCTGGGCTTTTCACAGGAGATTACCATCACTTTCTGTAACTTGGATGGAGAAGGGTCCTATGTGGTGCTTCTAATGGAAAACCTGTGGAAAGCGTTCTGCAGATGGGAATGGAAGGGGCTTCTCAAGGGCAGCCTATAATCCTGGAGTAGGAAAGCCCAGCATGTGCGGTGAATTGTTGACAAAGATGGCTGCTCCTGGAGTTTCTCATTATGGTATACACAGTACACAGCTCCTACCAAGAGGAGAAGTCTATGACCTTACTTTTTGGATTAGGGCTGCTCTTCTGACTTGCTTTGAGCAATAGAACGGGACATGTGATGGTGCGTGACTTTTGCAGTCTCTGCAGGTCTTGTGGCTTTTGTTTTTACCAGGTGCCATTTAAAAAGTTTGAGGTACCCTACTGGAGAGGCCATGCAGAATGAGAGAGGGAGGAGTAGGGGGGGAATGCACACACCCACACACACCCACCCACACATACCCAGTGAAGACGACATAAGGGTTTATGTGGCTGAGAAATTACGTACCTCAGTTAACAGACATCACTGTCTTGGTCACTTTCTTGTTGTTGAGACACAATACCCAATACCTACAAATTAAAGGAGGAGAGGTTTATTTCTGCTCAGAGTTTCAGTCCATGGTCAGCTGGCTCCAGAGTAGAAATAGCATGGCAGAGGGGTGTGGTGGAGGAAAAGCTAATTATGTCTGGAGGACAGGAAGCAGAGAGAAGGGAGGTGGGAAGGAGATATACCCTTCCAGGTCACGCCCCAGTGATCTTTAATCACACTCCGCCTCCCAACAGCGGATTTGTAATAGTGCCCCTTGAGACAATGGTGTAATAGTGCCCCTTGAGTCATGAGACTTTGGGAGCCATCTTGGATCTAAATCATAACAAAGATCAACACCAATTACAAGATTAAGAAAGGGGAGATGCCGATAGGGGACTGAGTTGGTGAAGTAAGGGAGTTAAGGGGGTCCTGGGTAAATTTCTAGTCCACACTGCCAAACTGACTGGCTTTGCTGGCAGATAGTGGTCAGGACTGAGGCAGGGTTTCTAACTTTGGATGTGGGGACTCTCAGGTCTAGAACCTAGATTTCTGTTTGGTTCTCTGTGTCAGTGCCTTGGCTGTTACCATGATCTGGCTCGTGAGAAGACCTAGTCTTGTTTTTATCATTTTGTTTTGCAGAGGATTAATATTCTTCCCTTGAACTACCTCCTGTTATTCCCAGCATTATTTCAGCTGCCTGCATCTGTAGATATCACCTGCTCAGGACTTTGTCCTGCTTTCTGTCCAAACCCCACTTCTCTCTCAGTTAGCTGGCACTGCCTGTCGGGACTACCACCTGTTGTTTGCTAAGATCTCCAGCACCATATTCCATCCTTAGAACTTGGAACTTGGTTTTTCATATCCTCAGTTCCTGCTAGGTCCTCACTGAATCTGCTTATTCCATGTTGGGACCAGGCAAATCTATGGCCACACTACAGAGTCTAATTCTTCCATACAGTAGCTTTTGCATATCTGATAACAACCTTTTAATTACCTTCAATCATCTCTTTAGGCTAAATTTTTCTGGCTTCCACATTCTCAAAGTTACCTATTTATGGATATAATTTAGCTTATCAATGTTCTTTTGAAAAGATGGTGTAGAAAAGTGATTCACATGTTTCAACAGAGAATATTGTAGGGATATAATTTTCTATGATAAAGGCATTATATTTTATTACTCATGCCCATACTTGTCTTTTTATTTTGCTTTATTTATTTGGTTTTTGAGACAGGGTTCACTATGTCATTCAGGGTGGTCTTGAACCCAATATGCAGCTCAGGAGAACTCATGACAATCCTCTTGCCTCAGGCTCTGAGTGCTGGGATTACAGGCATGCGCCACCATACTTAGCTTATTTTATTTCATTTTTGTGGTGCTACTGATTGAATCTATGGCCTTGTGTGTGCTAGGCAAGCTCTTGATGGCCGAACTATATCCCCAGCCCTTTTTATTTTGGTGCAGCCTCTTACTAAGTTTTCCAGGCAGGCCTCTGAACTGTCAGTCTTCCAGCCTCAGTTTTTCTAGTAGCTGAAATTAATTATGGGCATGCTCTATACTGTTTGGATCATAAATGTCCCTGAAAAGCTCACGTATTGAAGGTTTGGTTCCCAGCTAATGGCGCCACTAGTTGGAGGAAATCAGGTCATATCAGCAGGTCCTGGGAGGAACGACTGGGTTGTTGGTGGCTTCCACTCCTTTTGCTTGCTGGCTGGCATGAGGGAAGCAGCTTTGGTCCACTGTGAACCCCTGCCATGGTGCTCGACCTTGGAACAGGGCCAGAGATAGGCAAGTGACAGGGACAGAAGCCCCGAGCAAAAGTAAGACTCTCCTACTTAGAAATTGTTTTTCAGTTATTTTGTTATGGAAAACATACACATACAAATTCCCAGCTCGCCACTTTCTTTCTCTGTCCTTCCTTCCTTGTCTTTCTCTCACTCTCTCTCTTTTCATTTTCTCTTTCCCAGAACTATGTGTAATCAGGATTCCACTCTTATTTAGCTCCCTTGTATACTCAGCATATGAGTTTGGGATCACATAAATCAACACATGTTAGGGACCTATAAAATGTCCACTGCTTACAGCACACAATAAACGCTAGCTATTTTCATTATTTACCAGAAATATCTTAGCAAATCATGTATCTTCCCATTCTCTTTGATGTAATACTTACACACACTCTACCTTTTTCATAGATTATTGTGAGGTTCAAATGATAAAATATGTGACTGTGTTTTAGTACTTGGAAAGCATCATGCACATAGAAGATATGTATGGTAGGTGAGATTTCCTTTGACACTGTTATTGTTAATTTTATTTTTTCTTACCTTTTTTTTTTTGAATCAGGATCCTGCTAAACTGTCCAGGCTGGCCTCAAACTCCCGATCCTGCTGTTTCAGCCTCCTGAATGCTAGGATTCCAGGTGTGGACCACTTTGCTCCACCAACATTGTTAATTTTACAAAAGGTTATGTTTAGGAAAGAAAAGGAGACTCAGGCACAAGTGGGATCACTACAGACCTCAGAAGTAGACAGAAGCCAAGAAGAGGTGGGTGCCTTGCAGATGTCAGAGGTAGTGGCCTGGCCAGCCAGTCACCAGTTTGATAGGCAAACGTTCAGAAAAGATGAAATAAGTAGTCTAACAGGTAGTAGCCTCATTGTACAAAGAACCAGGGAGGGTGTGTGTGCGTGTGTGTGTGTAAGTGTGCATGCTTCCACAGTTTTGACTGCAAAACTGGAGCCCAGCTCAGGTTTTTCCAGGGGCTTCAGCCCTGTCTGCCTTGCAGTCCAGGCTACCAGCCCTGTGGCTGGAGAACTCCTACTCCCTTTTCGGGCCGGCCGAGCATGAAGGCCCCTCCTCCATGGGGCTTCCCCAATCCCTCCTAGCCTTCCCACAGGAAGAATAAATGGCTCCTTTGCAGGGCCTTTCTATGAAAGCACTTCTTTCACTCCAGACTGAGGGGGACCCAGTTTCCCTTATTCTGGGTCTCCTGGATTTACTCTAAGGTCTGCCACCGAACTGGCACTCAAAGGAGGGTTAGGCCGTGAATGCACTTTGAAGAAACAACTTTTAAAAGTTGAGAGGGCATTTAAGGCCAGGCTTGGCAGTGAGAAGGCAGTGCACGCACTCACTAGCTGTCATTATCCCGGGCGACTCCGAGGGCGAAGCGCGACCCTAGAGCGCCGGTAACCTGGGGAGGTGGGGGCGGGGCTAAATTCCGCAGATCCCAAGGGGACCCCCCCTCCCCCGGGGCCCCGGCCGGCGCGGGGGCGTGGCCTGACACAGAGGGCGTGGCCGTCTCGAGGGGTTTCCGCGGCGGGCGGGGGCGCGGGCGGGGCTTCCGCTGTGAGGGGGCGGGGGCGCACGCCGGGCTCGCGGACGGCCCCAGCCGGGGAATTTCAATTTGAAACCGAGCGGAGGGAGGGCCGGAGGAGGAGGAGGAGGAGAAGGAGGAGAAGGAGGAGAAGGAGGAGAAGGAGGAGAAGGAGGAGAAGGAGGAGGCGGGCACGCTGGGCCGGCGGCCGGGACGGACCGAAGCGGGACGGGTCGCACGGGCGAGCGAGCTGCTGAGGCGCGTCGGCGGCGGGGTAAGAAGCGCGGCGCGGGTGGCGGCCCGGCTTGTGGGAGCTGCAGGCGCGGCCCGGGTCTCCTCAGGCTGCCCGGGCGCGGGTCCCGGCAGGAAGCGGCAGGGAGCGGCCCCTCCGCGCTCCCCCGTCCGGTGTCCCGCTTCCTTCTTCGCTGGGCTTGGGGTGCGGGGGCGGCGAGCCCCGCCTGGGGCCCGAGCCCGGCTCCATCCTGGGGCGGCGGCGATTCGCAGCCCCACGCACGCCCCACGCACGCCCGTCGCCCCCGGGTGCGCGCCGCCGCCCGAGCGTTGGTGCCCGAGCGTTGGTGCCCCAGCCGCAGTTCCGCCGCGCGGGCGTCTCGCAGATGGCTTCCCGGTCCCCGCGCCGCGCACCGGGTGGGACCGTTCTCGGGGGTGCGGTGCAGTAGCGGAGTGGGGCCGGGCCGCCCCGTCTCCAGCCGGGACCGCGTGGTCCCCACGGCCCGCTCGCCCTCGGTGGGCGGCCGTCACCCTGCTCTGCCCGGCCGCGGCCCCCTGGAGGTCAAGCTTGCTCCGGTGGAGCCCTGGCGCTTAGAGAGCGAGATTGGTGGGCAGAGATCGCAGCGAGCAGTCTTCTCTCCGGGCCGAGGACGCCCTGCAGTAAATGTCCCTGTCACCAGAAAAGCTTCCCCCCTTTTAAAGAGCCCTGGGTGGGAGGAAGGGAGAGTGGATTTAGTATCTTTTCCCCCTGAATCACATGTTTCTGCAGGTTTTGGACTTGCATCCGAAATGCTGTGTGTGTGTCGGCCAAATGTCTTGTTCCTGTTTCTGTTAATTTTGCTTTTTAAAAACACTTTTCAGTTTTCCTTAACTTTTTTTCCTTCAGTCTCCTCTTTGTGTTTGCCTGTTTTTATTCTTTCATCAGAATTCTTCATTTCTGTATGCTCTATCATTTATAGCACTGTGTTAAGAATTAACATTTTGGTCAGTGTCCTGTCATTTCCACTTGGGTTTAACACCTGTGGGAAACAGTCTGTTTCTTGGCTGTGGGGGCCGGGATTTAGACTGCTCAGTCTTTCAACAGGTTTTAGTGGGGAAGGAGCAGCAGTCAATCCTACAGTTTCCGTTCTGAGAAATCACCCACCAGATTGCTGTTGCAGCCATGGATGGGGGTGTAGTGCAGGCTTGAATTGAGGTAAAGGCCGGCCAGCCGTCCATAAGGCTGCTGGGTCACCTGTCAGAGCTGCAGTGATCTTTCGAGGATTCACTTTGAGAACTGCTATCCAACCTCAGAGATCTTCTGTGGAGGTTATTGGAGAACTGAACAAGTGGTAATGGCTTGAAACAGTGGTGAATTTAGGGCTAATTTAATCCTGTCCTCCTCACTCCCTTCTTGGGCAGAATTCCCACTGAAGTCAGTAGTGGTCTTGTGTGCAGACCGATTGCTGAGAACAAGAGGCTGCTCATTAAGAATAATGGGAGCGGACAGTTCTCCTTAAAAAACGTTCTCCTTAAAAAAGACCTAGTTGGCCCAGGGATTTAGCTCAGTGGTTCCGGCGCCTGCCTCGCAAGCACAAGGTCCCGAGTTCGATCCCCGGCACACACACACACACACACACACACACACAAA